CAATTATTGTGAATACACGAGTGTTAACAAATTTTTTTTTTATTCATAATTATAGAAATGGAAATCATATTATTCAAATTTAGATTATTATAATTTATTATTATACAATAAACACGTGGAAATTTTGATTAAAATATTATTATAATTTGTAAGGTCTAAAATGACTTGTGTTAGTGTATACTGTAAAAAAATATTTTTATTTTATTAAGATTTATTAAGAAAAATCTAATATTAAGTATATTTCTATATTCTCTCAAATTTTCTCAGTTAAGAGTTGAACTGTTAATTTTTATTTCAATATTCAAAAAACTCATTTGATTTCGAAATTAGAACATATTTTTTAAAGGAATTCTAAAAAAATAATTTGATTATAACCTGAAATCAAGGTGACAATACTTTAAACACAATTTAAAGGAAATCAAAAGTGAATACTTTCCCTAAATTAAAATGTAAGAATTTAGAATATTTAAATTTTGGCTCTTGATGAATCTCGATAATCTCGTTATTTTAAAAAATTAAGCACTTAAGTAAAGTAAAAAAACAACTTATTCGTCTGTACGCCAAGACCTTGCGTCAGTTTCCGGTGTATTCATGCCCCTATACATACTTTTACCCTTATAATGCTGAAGTGAATTCTGAATATTAACCATAATATTCAAAACTTTGTTTTTGACAATAAATTTTAAATTTAACAAAAATTTTCATTAGAATTTCTTTCTTTATTAAATAATTTGCAGATGCGTGCTTTAAAATTCTTTACTATTAATTTTAATATTAAAAATTTTTCATCTGCATTGTTATTTCTTCAAAAAATAAAGAAGAAAATTATAAAACACGTGTTTTTTATAATATACACCTTTCTCCTTAACAAAAAATATTTTAAAATTTTCACATATGGCATTCGTTGTTTATTCTAATTATCGTCGAAAATATTTTATTCTTCCTATATGAAAGTTAAATTCAAGTTTTAAGCTTGAAATTTTTATTATATTTAAAAATTAAATTAATTAATACCGATTTCTCATTAACCATGCGACAAAAGCATTTCTTATAAGACACTGTTATTGTTATGTAAAATAAAAACCGCTATATTCTAAATTAAAGAGAGAAACAGGTACAAAAATTAATTCAAATTTTCTGTGGCAACTACTGTAATTGATGTAGAGTTCGAATGCAACATTTATAATTGAAGCTAAACGCAGATATTTAAAAAGGAGCAGTACAACACTCGCGAACAATCATGGAAATAATTTATTAGACATCTAGAATAAATTAACCTTGATAGCGAAGAATATATAGCAATAAGGCGTTCCAGCTTTAACTTGCCGATCAAAAGGTATATAATGAATGAATTGCGCTGTATTGAGAGAGCAACTAAGGATGTCATCAATTAATGTATTAAAGAAGGGGAAGAGAAGTTATATAAAGAGATAGAATTGTAAACAGAATTGAAAAAAAAAACTTTCAAAGTAAAAATCAGGGTCTCAGATAGCTGAATCAAAGGCTTAACAAGTACCATCTATAAGATGTGTACTAAAGGTATATGACTATAAAGGTATGCCTTTTAAACATCAATTTCAAAAGTACTTATGGGCGTATGTGTGTACATGTATGTTAATTTTCTTTTTTTAAAATTTTTATTTTCTGTTCATATGCAACAAACTTTCTTCCATAGACACAAGCTACACATCGTATACATACTATTATAATAGATTTGAACATGAAAAATTTTTTGAATAAAAAAAAAATTTAATTTTTGATATTTTAATAAAAAGTTTATTACGTTTCCGTAAAATTAACTTTCAAATTAAATTAAAGAAACAGAAAAATAATTTTTTTTTCTTAATATTTTGGAAAACTCTAGATATGTACCTGTACGCCAATTTTATTTACAGAACGTATATATATACATACTAATAGCATATACGCACGTACTTAAAGGAACAGAAGTCATGAAATCTGATGGTATATGCACATATTGTCACGATTTTCATTTGGAAACGATTCTTGGATACACGTCATATGGAAAATAATGAATTAAATTTTAGAAGAAATTTTGCTAGAAAAATTGAAAAGAATTTTTGAATTTGAAATTTTTGCTAATAAAGAAAATTAATTCATGTATTTTGCCCATCATGTAAATTAAATCAATATCTTTACGGCTGACCGAAATTGATATTCAAAAAGTGGTTTTAAATAAAAAAAAAGTGAAATAACGTAAAAAGAGCAAAAATTAATACAAAAAATAAAGTTGAATCAAAGCAATGGTTTATAATGTAGCACTTTACCTTTCAACAAATGAAAATACTGCTTTTAAAAGCAATCTATTTTACATTACATACATACATTGCTATTATGTACTCTCATTCATACATATACGAATATATTTCAAAGATTGCATATATTGTTTACCCTAATTAAAACAAAAAAAAAATAAAAATGCGCGCAATCAAGGGTTGCATTAAAAGAAATAATTGCATTTTTTAATGGCATTGTATTTACCATTAAGCTTATACATTTATGGAAATTTTGAAAAGCTTGCTGTTTTACAAATTTCAATAGGCAACAACTTGAGAGAGGATGGATGTACAAAAAAATGTTCTTCTAAAAAAATTAACTACCTATCAGCGTCTAAAAACTACTAACTCCTACAACCTGAGGTCTGATGAAAAACGGTACCAAAAATTTGGCTGCAATAAATAATTAAAAAATGGCAGTTTTAGGATTTTGGGGGCTGTAACTTTTAGAGGGGGAGAGATATTTAAAAATTTTCTTCTATAAAAATAAGTTTCTAGTAAAAATCTATGTACATATAAAATGTCGGCTTTCTCTTTTCAAGGTTGTAGGAGATAAAAACAAAAGCACCTTTTTGGAAAAGTGCTAATAAAGGAATTTCTGAAAAAATCAATAATAAGTTTAATATTGAAATAAAATAAAATTTTTTGAGACTTTTGTTGCTTAAAAATTTCTATTGTTTTGAAGGTTTTCTTAATTATTGTTCTTCCAAAACTAAAATATACATTATATCTTCATCATTCTAGTGATTCTCTATAAAGTTTTTGTCTTTTTTAAGCATGTCGTAGAGGACCAATGTTTTCGTAGAAGCAGTAATTGTACATTATGTATGAAGCAGTAATTGTATATTATGTATTTTCAGTTGTTATTTAAAAAGACACATTATTAGAGTAAATTAGAATAGAAAATTCATTTAAACAAAAAAATTCTTTGTTAAAAATACTTCATACGCACGCCGGTATGCTTTTTCATGGTTTTTAATGAATCGTGGCCAATGATTTAAATTCAAATATTCTCCCGAATAACGCTTTTTATTTTTCCGAAAACATTTCATTTTCAAAATTTTCTTTTAAGTTTCAAAATTTAAAAATTTTTCTAATGAAATTTATCAAAGACAATTTTTGGTTTAATACTAGGCTAAATATATCGTAAAATTAAATTCGCCTAACTATATGCTACACAATTAGGTAAAAAATCTCAATGTTGAAATATCTTACTAAAAAATAACAAATAAAAGTACCAATTAGCATGTTGAACAAATTTCAATATTTTCAGAAGTAAGACACACCAATATAATAAAAATATGCAACAGAAACTATTAACACTTTGTCTCCGCAAAAACGATACATTATAAATATATCGTTTTTGGTCTCAGTCTGCTGTATATGCTACTACATGTACTATATGAGATGCTATAACTATAACCAGAGTTGTATTGCATGTTCTGAAAATGCAAGAAATGATTTCAAGTTGTAATTTTTTAAATTCATATTTTTAATGGGTGCTTTTTCGAATGACACATATTTATATTGGATAAATTATATTGAATAAGCCTTTTTTCTAGAGTCTCCCAGCCTTCTAATTGTTTGAAGATGTTGTAAGTACAAAGATCGTACAATACTCAACACATTGCCGGTTTAATTGATTATTTATTGTATAATTTTTATTAGGTACGTTCCATAAACCTTTTCTCTCAATTTGAAATTCCGAATTACACAAGTATTGGAAATAAATATCAAAGAGCCCTACTTCAAAGTAAATTCATTGTTGAAGATAAGATAATGTGTAAAGATTTAAGTACGAGTACATTCATACATACTGCACAAGTACATTCATATGACAATATGCACAAGTACAAAAGAAATCTATCCCAAGATTTATGTTTCACACGAAATTGAACGAAATACTATGTTGAATGACTATGTAATAACTCTCTCTCTCTCTTTAATATTAAAAATTCAATTCAATTCAGTGTATCAATTATGAACTACTAATTTGAATATATTCAAAGTGCATTATAAAAATATGTTATTTTTGAAAAATGGTTAAAACAAATTTATATTTGATAAAATCGATAAATCTATAAGATCCTATGGAAGGAATACATTATGTCCAAAGAATTATAAAAGTTATAATACTCATCAAATGCTATAAAATTTCGTAAGATGCAGAAACAAAATGATTAAATTTTAATTGCATAATAGCTAACAATGTAAATATAATTTCTAAAATTAATAAAATGGTGAAAGAAATTATAAAACATTTAGGAAAGAGCTTTTTTTTTGGTTTAAATTACGTTTTTTTTCATCTTTTCTTTTTTAATATAAAAAAATTCTTAATAAACTTTACATATATGCGTTTTCGAAACAAATAAAAATTTTCACATTAGAATATTTTTTTAATAATAGAAAATCATTTTACAATGAAACCTTAAATCTACATAACAACATAATATTTAATTTATAAACGCTTTTTTTATATATTTTATATTTTTTGTTCCTGATGAATTTATTTAAATTAAATTAAAATTGAGATTAACTAAAGTTTCAGTGAAGGTCTTATTTACAAAGAAACCAATTACGTAAGTAAAATTATATTTTGTTTGAAAAAAAAAAATAAAATTAAATTATACTTTATAAACTTAAAATAATATTTTCTTATCGGGAATTATATTCATCATTTACATGACTTAGCGTACTTTCATACATGTATATCTATAAATATGTATATATACTTAATATCTATTAATTTTTGGATATTACTCAAAACAAAATAGAAATATTTAATTAAATATCAGTTCAAAATCTTTAAAACGTTAGATTTTGTTGAGGCATCTGCATTATCATAGAGCCTTGATGCTCTGGACTGTGTCTTTGTTTTTTCCGTTTCTTTTCTTTTTTACGTTTTTTGCGTTCTTTATCATCTTCATGTCGTTTTTGTTTTTTATGTTTCTTTTCATGTATATCTAAAGTGGCAGGATCTAAAAAAATGTAATTTATTTAAATTAAGTCTTTTTTAAATTTCTTCATTATTTCAGACCTATAATCGCTGTTTCTTGTGGTATAGGAGGAGGAGGAGGTGGGGGAGCTGGGCCACCTGACGGCTCCTTGTGCTTATGTTTTTTATGTTTGTTTTTATGTTTCCTAGCTGGAGTATTAAGACTACGATATTGTTCTGGAAGCTGTAATAAGTTTGAAATGTAAAAATACTTAAACTCTAAAAATTTTAAGTTAAATACCGGTCCGGGGTGCAAACGGAAGCCTGCTAATTGTACACTTGATAAAGGAAGTAGTTCTTTTCCACCAATTGGAGGCTTCTCAATTACGCTTCTGAGCGTAGCCCCTTCCTGAAAAAGTAAAACACAAATACTAATTTTTATTGAAACTTTGGTTATGATGAAACTGAAACAAAATGTGGCTTATTTCACATCAAAATTTTTAACTTGGTTTTCCATTTAAAATAGGGTTAAAAAATTTTCAAAAATTATTCAAGTACCATATTTCCTATTCCATCAACTACAGCGGGTAAATTCGGCAGAAATGATGATAATTGCTCTTTAACTTTTTTACCACTAAATTTACTATAAGAGTGCTCCAGTCCATAATATGCCATCAAATTAGTAGCACCTGTTAATTCTCCTTCCCCTTAAACGGAAAGAATTAATTTTTTGCTTTAAATTTCACTTTAATTTACTACCTGGTGGTTCCTTCATAAGATAAAAAGGACCACTATGTAATATTGAAGGATTTTTCCCTAGTGAGATCGTAGTTTTTAGTGTCCCTGATGAATCTTGTCGACTAACTACAGGTGAACGACCTCCTCTAGGTGATGATGATTTCGGAGAATAATCCATTTTCCGAAACTGATCATTGCCAATTATCATGTTCCCGTAATTCATTATTATTTGAATATAAATAAATAATTTTTATAGAACTTTTTAACCAACAATTGGCAAATTATACAGGTACATAAAAAAGTAGGTAAAATCTAATAAAACAGTACGACGTTATAAATTGCAAAAAATGTAAATATATTTCCCGAGGTCTAAAAGTTGCTATTTCTATAGTTAATGTTTACTTTCAAATATTTTTGATTAAATTGTTCACTTATTTTATATTTCCACTATTATTAAATTAAATAATCTCAATGCTAATTTAATTATTTAAAAAAAACTTTCGCAGTGAAATGCAACGAAAACAACTTACTCCGCCATTTTTGTTGTCACTTGTCATCTTACTGACGTTTTGTATAAAAAAAATAACTGTCAATAAAAACAAAAACAAATTTCAATAAAAATTTCCAACGCTCAAAATTATTAAACTGACATTTTCTGAACAGTCTCTTATAGGAGCGTCTTAATTCTTCGTTCCCGAAATTGCAGTTTGATTGTCTCCTCTCTTATATCAGTAACTTTATATGAATTTTTTGTGATATATTTTTACCGAAAATTTTTTGAATATTTCAAAATTTTGATTTCGGCCATTAAATTAAACCACCATAAAAACCAATAATCTGTACTACAAATCTTTGGAAATTCCAAAAAAATTTATTACATATGTGTCCATAACTAGGAATCGTGAACTTTTTTGTGAAGCAAGGTTTTTTTATTAATTTGTTAATTTTTGAGTCACGTTTTTCTACGTTTACTGTACAATACAAAAAATTCTTAAAAATTTCTTGAGCGGCTCAAATCATAAATAATAAATATCAAAGTTTTGACAATAGTTTTTGACATTTTGCTAGGATTTGCTAAGTTGCCATAATATTATATGATGAAAAAAAGCCAATACTATACACTAATTTAAAACTAGAAACGTACTTTACCATTTAAATTTCAACTCAATAAAATACCTGACACACATACATATGTACATACATATATATGCAAATTTGTTGAATTTTATGGCCTTTTCTGATTTTCAACTTTATGGTCCATTCTATAACTTCGACATTTTCTGCTTTGTAATTACAATAAAATATTTTTTTTCATAACTTGAAATGGTTAAACCATTTTTAAATTTTATTTTCAAATGTACATATTCGTATCTTGTTTTTTATTCCCTATACTGTTATACTATTTCGTTCGTGATAATTAAATAAAGAATAAAAATGCCTATTTTTAATAATTTTTCTTTAAACTAAAATTATATATCATGTTTATAATTTACAAGGTAACAAAAGATTTAAAAATTCAATTTTTTATGTATTGCATTTTATAAACAACGGAGAGTCTTAGAAATTAATTGGTTTTCCTATATAAGCTGCTGTATTTGCCTCTCTAAGAGCTTCAGCGCAGGTCTAAAAAAGATCAAAATAAAATTATAAAGTATTAAAAGTAAATTAATTTTATATACCGGATGAGCGTGACAAACGCGAGCAACGTCTTCTGCTGCAGCACCATATTCCATAGCCAAAACTGCTTCATTAATAAGTTCACCAGCAACCTGAAAATTTACTTACAAAACAAGGTCGTCTTATATATTTCTAATTATAACTTACTGGTCCAATAATATGAGTTCCTAAAATTCTATCAGTTTGTTGGTCAGACAAAACTTTAACAAAACCTTCTGTTTCGTTATTTGTTTTTGCTCTTGAATTTGCTAAGAAAGGGAATTTGCCAATTTTATATGCCACACCCTCTTGTTGAAGATCTTCTTCAGTCTTTCCTACCCATGCTACTTCAGGATGTGTGTATACAACACTTGGTACACAATTATAATCAATATGTACGTGTCCTCCATTTATTCCTTCAACACAAAAGATTCCTTCATCTTCAGCTTTGTGAGCTAACATAGGTCCATGAATAACGTCACCAATAGCATAAATGCTAAGACAACATTTAAAGCAAATTCTTTGAAATTTTTTAATATAGGTATTTACCTTGGTACCACTGTTTGGAAGCTTCCATTAACTGGAATTCGGCCTTTATCATCTTTTACGATTCCAACAGATTCTAGACCTAAATTTTCTGTGAATGGGCGACGACCTACTGAAACCAATAAAACATCACAATCTAATGTTTCAGGATTTCCTCCTTTGGCTGCTTCTGTTGTCACACTAATACTTCCGCCACTTTTGCTAGCTCCCGTTACTTTCGTTCCCAATTTGAAGTTAATTCCTTGCTTTGTAAGAATTTTTTGGAAGGTTTTTGAAACTTCACCGTCGATTCCCGCACCTCCTATTGTTTCCATAAATTCAATCGCAGTAACTTCTGCACCTAATCTTGACCATACTGATCCCAATTCTAAACCAATAACACCAGCCCCAATAACAACCATTTTTCTTGGAACCTCTTTAAGAGATAGAGCCCCTGTACTTGAAACAATAGTTTCTTCATCAATCTAAAAAATCCTTGGTATTAATCATTTAGTCCAAAATGATATTAATTTAGATTAATTACTTCGATTCCAGGGAAAGGTGTAACTTCAGATCCTGTTGCAATCATGATATATTTGGTTTTTACAGTTTCTGTTGATCCATCACCTTTAGCTACTTGTACTTCGTTTGGTCCAGTAATTGTGCCGTGTCCATCAAGGCGTGTGACTTTATTTTTTTTAAATAAACCGGCTATACCACCAGTGAGAGCTTTGACAGCATTGGATTTCTGCTGCATAAGTTTATCAAGATCCAATCTAACGTCCCCTACAACAATACCACGATTTGCAAGATCTCCTGAATGCGCCATATGATAATAATGGGAATTATTTAGAAGGGCTTTGGATGGGATACAACCTACATTTAAACAAGTTCCACCCAATGTTGGATTCTTTTCTATACAAACGGTCTATAAAATAATTTAGGTCATTTTCAAATTCATAATTTTACATTTATTTTTACTTTCATTCCCATTTGCGCTGCCTTAATTGCTGCTACATATCCACCAGGACCAGAACCAATAACAACTATGTCGGCTTCATGGGAAGATGAGTAAAATCTTCCATTTATTGCTCCCAAAATAGCGCCATTTGATTTTAAAGGAGTCTGAAAAATATGAGTATTCTTATCAATTATTAAATTTCATTGACTTTTTAGTTTTCAAATTGGTTTATATTTCAATATGACGCATGTACATCGTCTGACTGTAGGTTAAATATATTTGACCTAAAGTTTAGCAAAGTAGCCCGCATAGTTAAATTTAAAAAGTAAGATATGTATGTGCGAAAATATCCTTAATTTACTTTGTTATTCTTAATATTAGTTGTCAATAAAATACAAATTAAGTTTTTGCACAGAGTTAATTTTGAGCAATGTTGCATAATAATTCTCACTTCACGCTATACTTACTTTAATGGCAAAATTGATAACATTTCTAATACCGGACTGCATTTTTTGTTTCAACCCCTATTTGATTTTTGAAAATGTAGATTATTCTATAATAATTAAGGAATGAAATATATTAATTTAATTTTGCCGAAAGAAATACTTTCGAAATAAAAGTAAGCCCTTCAAAACTTCTTGATAAACTTGAGTGACGTTTCTCTGCATGATTTTTGACGTTCATTTTTCATGAAAATTATCAACGGAAGAGTTTAGAATTTTGAAATTTTTGTCATCAAGTAATTTATCACAATAAATTGGTATAATAGTAAAAGCAACATCATAATCTACTTAGAAAATTTGATTTATCGCCGTTTGTCTTTTACGAGCTGTTCGTGGCCTATTACAATTTTTTTAATAGTTATAAATAGTTTTTATAATGTGATTTTCAATCGGAATTCGAAATTTTCTAAGTATTTTTATATATGACACATTATCTTAATAATAATTTTTTAGCTAATAAATTTTGATTTGTATTTAATTTCAAAGGTCTGTGACGTAAACATTCCAAGATTTTTATATTAACCTAAAGTAACTTTGAAATTTTGAGGAAAATAGAATTAATTATATTTTTGAACATGTATCTATATATATATTAACTGGGGATGTTGTTTGTCTGAAAAGTGTGATGCAAATTAATTCTGCAATTAAAGGATTTTGTAGGCTACTTTTCACAAATATGTGTTTACCAAAATGGCAAAAAGATTGATAAGTGAAAATTTGAAATATTTATTATGCCAGCACAGACAAAATTACTTATTTTCAGAAATATGGTGAACAATCTTTAAACTTTGAGATATTCAACAAACATTTTTTTAAATTTTATATACACACATAATAATTATATAACATTTTATCATATAATAACAATTACATAACATATTAACATATAATGTCAAAATGTTAGCAGAATAATTGAAAAATTCAGTATGTAATCTCCGTTTCAACATACCCAATTAAATAAATTATTAAAATTAAAAAGAAGAACGGACTGAAAAGACATAGAAGGCTGTTGATATATTTGTTTTTTTTTAAATTATGATAAAACTTTATTTATTTTCATAAGAAATGTAAAAATTAACGTAGAAGAGAAATTTTTTTTATTTATTATGCTTTAAGAGTACCTGGCAGCCCATTTTACTGTGTGCTGCAACATTTCGCAGAAGAGTGATTCTGTTTATGTTTAAAACAGTTTGCAGACCATTTGTTATGACATTTATCTATTATTTTTTGGTGTTGCTTTAAAATTTACGATAGAATATGCAGTAGTTTGTACGTAAAAAAGTATAAAAACCAAAGAATTTTAAATGTAGATTTCATAAATTGATTTTTATTTTTAATATTTAGATTAAAAATAAAATAAAAATTAAATTAAAATTAAGTGCATAAAGTGCCATGTTCTTTAAATAACTTGCCATATTTTTATTAATAAAAACATGAAATTTATTGAATTTGTATTGTTAATTTTAATCAGTATCAGTTGTGTTGCTATAATTTCTTCTGATAAGGATGCTGTACGAAAATTACCAACAGTGCTGATTTCAACATTAATTCGAAATAAAGGTCATACCCTGCCATATTTTTTCACTTATTTAGAAAAATTAAATTATCCAAAAGATAGAATAGCATTATGGTGAGTAAAATTGGAATTATGTTATCATTTTGGTGTTCTATTTCTATGTTAATTAACTATATACTGTGTATACATATGTAATCATATTGCGCTTAATTTTGCAAAAATAACTAAAATGTGTTATATTTCTTATACATTTTAATCATTTCAATTATTTAGTTTAAAATAATTATAATTGGAAAAGTCTAGAATTGTAATTTAACCTTTTAGAATAATTGGACAATTATGCAAGTATCTCTCATTTCCACCTACTACTAGACAGCATATGTTTGTACATATGTACATATATATGTACAATTTATTATATATTTTTATGATAGTTTCATGAATGTAGTTTTTGTACGATTGAGCTGTAACAGAAATTAGTATAGAAAAACCCATTTGTATTAAATTCGCTTTGTTCTAAGCTTCAATTTATGTACATTATGCTTTAATCCCCGAATTGAAGAAAAATGAAAATTATACTTAAAATTATGCTTAATAGTACCCAATTACTTATCCAACATTGATATTAATTTCGTATACGTGTTCTTCATGCAAGACACTACTACAAAAGATCCGATATTTTCTATACAGTTGTACAGTAGGTAGATTGGTACATATTTAAAAAATAAATATAAATTTGATATAATGTGTAGATTTTTTATAGATATTGTAACAGTTTATATACACATGATTTCTAAAAGAATAAAACACATGTACTAATACAAACATTTTTTGCTTGTTTTTTTAAAGTTTTCGATCAGATCATAACGAAGACAATTCTATTGAATTGACACACCTTTGGCTTAATAAAACTAGTAAATTATATCATTATGTTAATTTTGAATATGAAGAAAATCAAAAGCGACATAAAAATGAAACATCACCAACAGATTGGCCAAAGGATCGTTTTTCTCATATAATAAAGCTTAAAGAAGATAGCTTTGAAGAGGCCAATAAACTTTGGGCTGATTTCATTTTTGTAAGTTTAATAACCATACATAATATGTATGTATTACCTATTTATATCTTTTATTATAAACAAATATACTAACGTTACGCGTAAAATTATTTTAATTTCTAATTTGTTTTTATTTCAGTTCTTAGATGCTGATGTTTTTCTAACAAATCCAAATACACTGACAGAATTGATTAAATTTGATTTACCAATTGTAGCACCGATGCTTAGTTCTGAAGGTTTATATTCGAATTTTTGGTGTGGTATGTCAGAAAATTACTATTATTTGCGTACTGATGAATATAAACAAATTTATGAAAATAAAAAAAACGGAAATTACCCAGTTCCTATGATACATAGTTCTGTTTTAGTCAATTTGAATTATGTAAACTCAAATCAGTTAACTTTTGATCGATCGAAATTGATTGAGCAACAAAAAAGGAATTTGATAGAGAAAATATATGATGGACCTCTAGATGATATAATTATTTTTGCAATATCTGCAAATAGTTCTGGAATTCCAATGTACATAAGTAATGCTCATCCTTATGGTTATATCTTACAACCTTTAGAAAAAGAAGATGAAATATTGCAGGATTTTTATCAATTAGAAAATATAAAATTGAATATCATAACAGATTTGGGATATCCTATTACTGTGAATGATGAGTTCAGAAAATTTGTGCACTACCCAGAAAAGTAAAATATAATTCTTATTTTATTTTATTTTTGACATTAAGTAATGTATTTGTTAGGCATAAATTATCTTTGGATCATATATACATGATAAATTTAGAAAGACGACCAGAAAGAAGATCGAAAATGGAATTGCTTTTTAAAGAATTAGGATTAGATGTAGAGTATTTTCCAGCCATGGACGGAAAGTAAATGCAAAAACAATTTTAATGTCATATATGTAATTCATATTTATTTTTTAGAAAACTTAATGTCGATATTGTAAAAAAGATGGGAATTAATTTTTTATCTGAGTATGAAGATCCGTATCATCATCGAAAAATGACTATGGGAGAAATAGGATGTTTTTTAAGTCATTATAGAATTTGGGAAAAAATGGTAGAACTGGAACATAATGAAGTTTTAATATTAGAGGATGACATTCGTTTTGAACCATATTTTAAAGATAAAGCAATAAGCGTATTAAATCAAGCTAGAAAGCACGGAAAATGGAACTTAATGTATGTATGCTTACACTGTGTTTTAAATAAATTTCATTTATTACTTTTTTTTGTATAAATTTCATTTGTATTTTTAGTTACTTTGGTAGAAAACGCTTAGAATCAGAAGATGAGCCATGGGTGGATGGAACAAAAAATTTAGTACATGTTGGATACTCGTATTGGACTTTAGGTTATGTTATAAACTTAGAAGGAGCAAAGAAGCTTTTGGCTTCTAAACCTCTTGAAAAGTTACTTCCAGTTGACGAATTTTTACCAATAATGTTTGGTAGACATCCGAATGACTCATGGAGTTCAGCTTTTGAAAATAAAAATTTAGTAGCGTTTAGTTCTGCGCCACTAATTTTATTTCCAACTCATTATACTGGCGATGTTGGTTATATTTCTGATACAGAAGATTCTCAAATAACACCACCAGCAGACTCGCCTACCTATGTTGAAGCAAAATTGAAAAGCGATAAACCGTTAGTAAGTTTAGATGATTACGTTATGGAAGATGCTCACAAGAATGGTGAACATAATAACGTATTTGCAGATCACTTAGCAAAGTCTATGAAACCAGACCATTCAGAGTTGTAAATTAATGCAGTTTTAAAATTCTTAAAAAACTACTAAACAATGAAATGCGTAGTATACTAATTAGAATACTAGAAACACCAAAATATAAAAATTAAAACAACATAATTTAGTCACAACATAAATTTTATTTTTATTAAAAAGATTTTTTCTTGAATTATTCTTGAATGTGCCTTTAAAAATCAGTAGTAAAAATGTTATTAATGTACATACATACATACATACGTAGATTAAATTTAAAAATTATTTTAGAAAAGAATTTTATTTTTTTTAAATGTGCCAGAAATCCAAATATTGAAAACAATTTTTGGATAACTAATTTTATTAAAAGAATAAAAAAATAATTTGTATTTGTATCAATAACAAGAGTGAATAAAATTTGTATATTTTTGTTATTAACAATCTTTCTGTTTATCGTTAAATGCAAGTTTATCGTAAGTTTAAATGATATTCAACTTAAATGGCATAGTGAAGAACTAATTATTTAGAAATTTGAAGTCTTGTTTTATAATATTATTGTTTATTAAATTATCCAAATAGATAGCATTGAATAATCCAGCACTTTATAACAGATCAGACTTATTTTTTACAAAATGTTAATGGCACTTGAAAAGCTGTGAAATTTAACAATGTGATTAATTTTTTATGTGTTTTTCAAAAATCTTTACGAATACGCTTACCTCCATTTTTGTTACAAGATTCATGTTGACAAAATTCGCATTTATTTCTATATCTTTCAAAAAGATTTTTTTGTTTATTGTAAACACATAGTGGGTCGCACTCCTTGGTACAATAATACTCTGGACAATTTGCTGGTTTTCGTGGACACGCAACAGGCATTGGTTTATATTGTAATATTGTGCCGGAACATCCTGCTGATCGATCTTCTTGCCCATATATTACAATACCGCATCCTAGTTTTGGAAATGTACGGAAGGTGCGTGATTTATTTTGGAACGTTAAATTTAATAACTCTTTAAAAAATATTTCGAAGTTTTGTTTTCTTACCCAATATGGCAATTATAGAAAATAATAATTTCATTTTTTTATAATAATTGAAATTGGTTATAGTACAGGACGATATAAAGAAAGTTTAATACTGATGGAGAAATGTAATATCTTCACTTTTATATAAAGCGTGCCATAAAAAAATTCCTTTTTACTAATAAAATATGTATGTCAATTTAATTAATTTGTAATTCTTGTGTTATGCATTTTTCTACATGCAGATATTTAAATATTTGTTTTTTTTTATTTTTTTTAAGTAGGTATGAGATTTAAAAAATTTTATATAAAAGAAATATTACATCAATTCATTATCAAACATACACAAAAATTTGTATTCTTATCAAATTATAAGAACAAATTTATAAAATATTTATATTTATTTAGTTTTTGCGAATTTATAGAAAAGTAGGTCATCCACAAAAAAGCAAAATTAGCGGGTTTATCAGTATTGATTAATACATTTTAATTTTATATGTAAAGTAAGGTACACAAGTGCAAAGTATCCTCTCAAATAATTTAAGTATTAATTTTTTTGCGAACATTTAAAGAAAATTTAAATTAAACGTATTTTTCAGATGAAATTAATTATAATTGGCTTGTCCATCGGATTATTGAAACATGACAGAGTGAAGAAGATTTGACAGAGTGAAGAAAATTGGAAAAGCAAATTTTAATGCCTGTTTTCAATAGGCATTATTCACACTCATAATAGGCAAAATTTCACACTCATAATTCAATAGATTTCCAAAACAATTGCAAATTACCTTTAGGTAATGCTCAAAAAAAAATTATCTCTTATTCCATCAGTTAATTTTTTACTAAATAATTTTTAGAAAAAAAATTTCAAATCAAATTTATATTTTATAAAGTTTTCCAAGAACACGAAGATGATGTAAATTATGAATCGGAAATGGTGAATCCAACTTGATGACTGCCTAAAACAAACAAATATAACATGTAATTGAAGCATTTTCTGAATGTGCCTGACTTATTTGTAAGCCATTTTAAATAAAAAAAATTTAAGTTTAATATTTTTAAATTACAAGTTGATTACGTCTGTTAACCTTATAAAAGTGAAAAGGTTAATAAAGATTTTTTATTGCTGAGAACTAAAACTGGTATCGTTCTCCTAAATTTATGCAAAAATATTAATTAACTTGCATAAATGCGTACATATGTAAAAATAAAATAATAGACGAAAATCCTGATTTGCAATTTTAAAAAATTCTCATCCGTTTTAAAAATTTATTTTTTTCTTCCAGATCTAAAATTTTATTTAAATATATTTAAAATTTGCTTTTTGCAATTACTTAATTTTATTAATAATTTTTTATCCATATTCTTAATTAAAAATTTCCTATAAAAACTTCAATTAATCTTTCATATGATTTCAGTTCCCTAGTGTAAAGGACAACAATAAGATGAAATTTTTAATAATTTTGTTAACTTTTTTAAGTTTTGGTAAATATTTCAAATTTTATTTTAAATTAAATAATATATTTACATAATATATGAATATATAAATTAAAATTAAAAAACATTAAATATTTTTAATTTCAGTACAATTAATTTTATCAGGAAATCCATCTCCTCCACCATGTCCGGATGTTTGTCTTGAATTATATGATCCAGTTTGTGCTTGGGATGGAATTTGTTTTCGTCAATTTTCAAATGAATGCTTTTTAAGAATGTATAATTGTAAGGAAAATGAAGGACCAGCATTTTTATATCTTGATGGATCTAAAGGTAGAGGTTGTACAGATTATTCATCATATCCGCAATGTAAATAAAGGATGAGTTGTTAATAAACTATTGCGGTTATATTGAGATATGAAATATAATTTTGTAGCTCTTTAAAAGTTTTTTCTCTTTCATATTTTTATAATTTAACTAAGAGACAATGTTTGATGCATTTTAGTCTTTGGTTGAAAGAAGCAATTCGAGATTATTTTATCATTATATTATATATTTTCTCATTACCGTCTGAATTAAAATTAAACGGAGAGCGTATACTCTTGAATTAACTATAATATATAAATAAATCGAATTGATAATAGATCTTAGACATTTAGATATGCTCATAGTTTTATTCTGAGTTTTTCAAGAAGCGCAAATTTCAAATTCTCCAATAACAAATTTTCTTGAAACTTTATATTTCGACCTTGTTTATAGAACAAATTATTAAATATTTTGAATTAAGGAATTTTTTTGGAATTTGATGTATTTGTTTTGTTTTTCAATTAGAGATAATGTAGTAAATTTGCGAACTAATTGGGTTATAGAAACAAATAGAATCTTAATTATCTTAAAATTTAAACAACTTAACAATATTGGCTTATTTTGTAATTATTGTTTAGGAAATGTTATGTTGAAAGTATTTGATTTTTTTGTTTATACAATATTGTCATTTATACTTTTACACACATACATACATACGTGTATTTTTAAAAAGAGATGTACAGTTGCAAACAACATATGCACCCATAGTTTGTTAGTCACATTACTTGACGAGATAGGGTGTTATTTAAAAAAAAATCTTGTAATTTTCTGAATAAAATTAATTTCTAAATTTGAAATCCTCTACTAGACACCAAAATATTTTCAATAATATCTTAAGTGATGCGACTAACACAATATGAGTTATAGTGTAATAAAACTTTTTAAGCATTATCGTAAAATTTTTTTTATGAAATTTGAATTTTAATAATTATTTTATTTAATTCTTAGTATCGAAATAATTATATAAAATATTTAATTCTATTTTATTATATGGAACTGTTCTGATGAAAACTCAATAAAATTATTTACAAGACAATCTTCAATCTTATTTTTATATCTTTTATACTAGTAAAGTACCTATATGCTAAAATCATTTAAACCAAAAAAAAAAAACAAATTATTTATTAATTGATAAATTAAAAATAACAACAAAATAAATATAATTGTTTTTTTAGGTCAAATATAATTTTAATTTATTATTTATTTAATTTTTTTTTTAGTTTTTTCTTTATAAGTTAAGGTTATTTTAGCCATGCTTCTTTAGTAATTAATTTTAAGTTCTTATTTATTTTTTTTAATTTTTTAATATTACCTATGTACAAAAAATAAAATTATATAAGCACACATGTATGCATATGTGAAATTTATTAACTATATACGATGAATTTTAAAGTTAGAACATATATGAATTCCATCGTGCATTTACCAGGTCAATTATCATTCATAATTTTATAAAGCATTAAATGCTAAAAGAAAAACAATTAAATAAATGCTTACTAATTACAAATATTGAAAAAAAAACAAAATAAATATTTTTAAAAATTAATTTGCTAATAAATAATTTACACTTTTTTATTTTAAACAATTTTACTTTTCTCATCATCTTCGTGTTATAATGATAAAAAAAATTATAGAAAAATATATTTGCAATAAATTTTTGAGTTGTGAGATTTTCATTCGATGATAAAGTAATTTTCTTTTGATTTGGAGTAAAAATAAATTTTCTGTAATGTATTTTAAGCAGTTGAAAGGAAATATAACCTCAAAAAGTAAAAAGTACATGCATCATGCTTTGTACGAATTGCTGCGACAGCTAAAGTTGTACGAGAATTGCAGAAATATCGTTGGTGCAATTGGCATTGCACATTACCTATGAATGCTACAGCTACAGTAATTTAATCTAAATACTCTCTTCTGGTGACAAAGAGAATATTGACAATGTAGCTCTTCCAATTAACCTTTTAAAATTTCTAAATATTTTTCCCATTCACAGTCTTCTCAATTTTTTGCATTTTTAATTTTTATTTTTAAATTAAAAGTGACATTATCACCTTTCAATTGTAATCGTGTAATGATAAATATTCAATTTTCGAAATCTCTGCGACTGTCGGGGTCGAGACTATACATAAATGACAACATTTAAATCAAAGTTCAAATTTTTTTTTGAAATACTTCCTTCAATTATCGATGTTGCGTGCGTTGCCTTAGTAATGTGAACAATTAGTTAAATTGTGTGATTTTCGTGTATATTCAATACAAAATAGGAAAGTTAAATTGTTCACAAGTTTTCAAGTGAGCGTAATATGGTTCTGACACAAGAAACGCGTGATACTCTACACCTTTTCTCTGCAAAAAAAATCGAAGTCATAATAAAAAATTACGCCATTATAATAACGTGCTGTAAGTTAAAATTTTGGATAAATTAAATTTTTTAGTTTATTTGTAATTAAATTGTTATTGCGAATATATACTCGTAATTTGTCATACCTTATGAATTGGCAAAATGTACAAACAGTGTTGTTTATTTATATTTTATACAGAAATCGCATTGTTATACAATTTAATTGAGTGTGGTGGTCCAATCGAAATAAATCAAAATTGATCATTTTAACATGTGTTAGAGACGCACATTGTATACATATAAGTGTTACTGATTTTTTACATCTTATCCATAAATCTAAACTATATACGTATCTATACATAAATTTTGTTTAAAAATCATAATCGTATATACTATATTGTATACTATAACTTATGTATTGATACCATAAATTTCCAATTATTGAACTCTAACATCACTATTTAGTTCAAACTTTATTTTAAAATTAGCCTTTTATATAATCGTCATTAATAATTAAAGAAAAAAAAATGAAAACAGAATTCATCACACCTTTTAGTCATTAACATATCGTAAAATAGTTGTACTATTAATTCGCGATCACATAAGTATATTGTGTGATGAAAACTAAAATGTATAATTAGAGAAGTGAACGAGCATGCATAATACATTTGGATGTGTGTATATACAAATCATATGGTATGAAATATTGGTAAATATGGGTGTGAATAAAATATTGAAGAAAATAAATTAAAATATAGACAATAAAACAAAAACAATCAAGAAAAAACTATTTTTTTGTTTATTATTTTTTAAACTTTCAATAAACTTTGTAACCATCTGCTACTGATAACTTAATCGGCTCGTGCCAAATTATGCAAATTATTATTATAATAATAATAACAATAATTTGTTACTACATACAAATTGAAATTAATTTAAATTATAAAGTATTTAAATTCAAATTAAAAAAAAACAAAAACAAAAATTTTATTAGTTTCATTGTTAAGACCTAAAATGCATGTTATGCAGAGATGAAATATTGGTAATTTAATTCAATTGTGTGTCATATCGAAATTAATAAATAATTAATATGTAAATAAAACGATGTGATAAAGATTAAGTTGAAGTCATTTTCATATTTAAAATCTGAGATTATAGAAAAATTTTTTTATTGATTTAAAATTAAAATTAAATTTTTGGACCTTGAAAAAAAATGGCTGAAAATTTTTGAAAATGGTTGATAATTTTTTACTTATTAAATTAGTGATTTTCTATATTGTTTTTGATTTTTTGGACTTTAGATCACAAATTTAGTAAAATTAATGGATTTTGTCAGGAGCTTGCATATACAGGTAGAATATAGAAACTGTATTTGATTTTATGAAATAAAATGAAAGTATTTTAGAATTTTTCATATTATCATTAAAACTAATTTTTTTTCATTCCTTGTTATTCCCCTAAGCCAGGAAACATGGAGCTTCAACATATAGCCTCTCTAACTTTCTCTGCTTAGTGTCAGCCTCTTTATTTTTTCATCTTGTCTCGTCATTATATCCATAGCTCATGGTTCATAATTTTTCGAGGCCAGAATATTTTGCATATAATTTTGAAACATTTATTAACGAATACTTGTATTTCTTGTATGTTAGCTCTGACATCAACCATGTTTTTATGTCCTAAAGCAGTATGCATTGAATATTCTTATTTAGGTTCCGCGTCCTATGTGCGTTGACTTTCAGGTGACCCGTTATGTACTAAAAGCACTCCTTGCCTTAGAAATTCTGCATTTTATGACATTATTGGTTCCTTCCTCTTTTGTTATTGTTGTACCCAGGTATTCAAATAATGATACCTCCTCAATTACGTTGCTCAAAATAAATTTATTTTCAAAAGAACCTTCGCCAAGACTTCTTGTACTAATTACACTTAGGGTTTTCCTAAATTAAGAACTGACATATCACAAAATTTATGTTTAGATATGAGTAGATTTGAATGCTACTGAAAAAAAATAATTATTAATAGCCAAAAATTGAACTAAATTCCAAAATTATTTATTTTGAACATTATAAGGATTGCATATTATTTGCATTACTTTTTCCTGAGTATAATCGAAGTGAATAAAGCGAAAATATTATTATTAAATATTCGTAATTTGGTGTTTTGTGTTTTTGCATTCGATTTTTCACCTTTCCAAATTTTGATCAAAAATTTTTTTTGCCTTATTATCGGTTTTGTAATGTTTAAATTAGTTTTTGGATAAACTTTTATAATAGTCTTTTGAAAATAATAATTTTTCCTCAGGACGATCGTAAGCATATATATAGCTTCAAGAAGTGAAATCACATTGAAACCAAGACAAAGCCCATAGACGCCTCCAATATCAGCTAAAAAAATATTTTTTTTTAAATACGTTATTAAACGTATAGAAATATTATTGCAATATGGACAAAACTTACCCATAAAACTTAACCAAGACATGACGGTGATTTTTTTATTTAATAAAGCAGTTTGTTTTTTCAAATAAATTTTTGCAATGAAATTTCTGTCTGTTAGATTTTCTGAGCTATAAGTAAGAACACTTTTTGTATTTTAATTAAAATTTTATAAAATTTCATAAAATTTTACTAAATATTGTAGACTGAAAAGTTGTGTTCCATTAAAGCAATGCTATAAGTTTCTATATCGTAAGTTACGTCATCACATCGTGGTAAACAATGCTGGCATCTGGCATTTCGAAATCGAGCTACAATATTATCAATTAAAAAATTTATAATGCAAAGATTATTTATGAAAATGATGCTTACCAAAATTTTTATTAAAACAAAATGAGTCTTTTAATTTGCATTCATTTTGTGTTTTATGATCCTTTATAAAAATATAAGGATAACAACCACATATTTTAAAAATCATTTCATTTTTACATTCTAAAATACAAGATGCTCTTCTGTATCCTTGTACATCAATATCATCATCAATCAAACAATTTCTTTGTTTCGGTGATAAATTTAAAACACTTGAAACTACAGTGCTAACCATTGATCTAACCTCAACAAAATTTTCTGATTTTGTTCTCAATGTTACTCTTGAATTAACATCTGTTGGATAATCAAGTGGATGGTGAACAAATACATAAAGTCCGGTAGATGAAGATTTACCTTGAAATAAAATCTTTATTACACTGAAAATTTCTATTCAAAACACACAAGCTTTAATACCAATAATAGTTAAGCCACCTCTCATACCATAAGTTCTTGCTTTTAATGGTACAAATGAATTATTATTTGGTTTATAATTGAATGCACAACAAATTCCACTAGTTGTCATTACTGATGAAAATGTCACACCTTCACTATTATTATAACAATCAAATTGTTTACTTCCCCACAAACATTTCTCTAAAAAATCTTCACAACTCGCTCCAATCAATTTTGCAACTTGTGCAATATTCATATTATTCAATGCTAAAATTTCATCAACTATTTTATAGCTTATATCAATTTCTGAACCTTGCCATTTTCGAAATGTAAAAGCTTCAATATATTCAATTCCTTTTTTAAATTGTTCTGCAGTATATTGAGGTGGTTTTAAACTATATATGGAACAATATAACTTGTACATATAAAATTAAAGAGAAAAAAATCACAAAGTTGGGACTTACATTGATCTTGTAAAATTTTCTAGCTTTGAAAGAAGAAATGGTTTTGTATTACAAATTGTTACAGCTGGAAATGAAACTTCTTTAACTGGAATACTAAAACCAACTGATGTTATAGTTGGTGACGAAAAGAAATGCATCCAAAGTCGAAATGATAAATATAAACTGAATAAGAATAAGATTATCAATCCAATAAGATTGATTGTCCTTCAAATAGAATTTTTATTAGCTAATTTCATTAACAATTTGAAATTATTTTGACTGTTATTCATGTCAGAATAAATATATTTTATTTATACCTTTCAAGAGGAGATCTACTGGGACAAAGTCCGGATATAGCAACAACTTGAGTCCTTAAATTAAATTAGTTTGTTTTATATTTTAAAATGTATAAGGTGTATGATACCATTGTGTGTATTCATGAAAAGTTTCTCTCAATGCTTCTATATAAGTTCTCCAAGAAATTTTCTGTACTTTATGTATAGGACGCCTTGGCTCGATTTTTTTCATATTTTTGATTTCAACCATTCTTATTCAAATCTAAAAAATACACTAAATCCGTATTTCAAAATTAAATCACATTAAATAACATTATAGAACTCAAGAGCATAGGTGGATTCTATTCCAGTACATCATTTAAAAATATTATGTCGTGGTAGTTATTCGAATATTGTATAACATTAAATTTAATTTCTATTAATTAAGCGTGTAGGTAAAACGAAACACCGATCTGAAAAGTAAAATAGAGAGATTTCCTTTTTTAACATTTAATTCTGATTTGAAACAAAAATGTCATCACAATTAAATTTATTTAAGGAAATCAAGGTTAAATAAAGAATTTGTTAAGTAACTAATAACTTAATTAGGATCTTATCGATTTTTATTAAATTTAGCTTCTATAATGAAATATAAATGGGATTAAATAAAATTTATTAAAATCAAAATTTTTCTTAGGATTTCACTTATATAATTTAATATGACATGTTTACCACAGTTTCGGCAAATTGCAAAAATGTCTGAAATTGACGAAATTTTTTAGAGCTACTGAAATTTCTATATATCCTTTAAAATTGAAAGATGAAATTTCATACAGAAATACTTCTCTACATCTTCCTCCTCTTATTTGCTCTACATCTCTCTACAAAAGTTATGCTCCCTTTGTTCAAACAAATTTTGTCTTTTATTACCTTCTCATTACAAATTAATGTTTCTCAAATTGGAAAAATTTAAATTTTCGGCTCCTTATGTGTCTGTAACTGTAAACTTTTCCAATTTTCTCTAAAACCAAATAACTAACGGTAAACGGCTTTGAATAAAAAAAATAATTTACTTGTTTCAACTCACCTATGAGCCACCTACGAGTGTTTCTTTATTTTTGGTTCTTACCCTAAAAGTATGCAATGATTTTTTGTGTATAACATAATTTTGGTATATTTTGTGATATATTTTAATGAGAAATATTTATTTTAATTAATTTTATCTTTCATCCTTTATTTGCCATTAAGTTTTTCGTCAAATATTAACTTATTACAACAAAACAGTAGCCCGTAACTTTATAGCTACAATAAGACTGTTTATATACCAAAACAAAATTTGATAATGCCTATTGGATACAGCGATAATGAGTAGTTGTAAATAGAAGACAATTAGAATTCTTGTTATTAAGAATAAATTATTCATTATTTAAATAGAAAATGGGTTTTAAAATATTCATTATTTAGGAGAAAGTTTTGAATTTTATTTGTTCGGTTGTAAAAAAAAAAATGTACACTGTTTAACATAAATTTGGTCCGAATTCATGTACTTATGTGTAATTTGAAAAGCATGTACTCAAGTCTGTTTAAAGTAATCGGTTTTAGATCAGTTAGAATTTCGAACCAGTTATTATTCTATAATTGTTTGTATTTTTAAGACGAAAAAAACTATTTAACATAAAGTGTTTTCGAAACACTTACTTCATTATTTCAACATTAACAGAGAACGGACATACCTTCACTACATAATATATTATATAATATTATCATTATAATATTTTATTGAACTACACTATGCCTTCATACTGCATTTCAATAAAATATTATAATGAAATTTGCAAAAACCAATTATTCTTAAAGACATCAACGAGCCTATACACTTATAAAAGCAATAAACTCCAAATTGAGAAATTCCAATATGTGCATGTCCTCCACGTGAAAATTTAAAATTAAAAGAACAAAAAATCATTTACTGAGGTCAATGATTTCATTTTTAGCATTTAATATAAATTTTATATAATTTTTTTTTTGATTTATTTACTCGCACATTACTCTCTTGTACGTAATTTAAGACCATGATTATGTGCGAAAGTAAATAAATTCATCAAGTAATAATAACAATAACAGTAACAATAATAATAATCATAATAAATATTTAAATAACAGTAGAGTTAAATAATATTAATATAAATCATTTTCAAAAATTAAAATTGAAAATATATAATAATAATTCATAACCATTATACCTTTAAGAATTAAGTGTTATATGAAAAATAATTTAAGATATCAAAAAATAACAAAAAATTAAACCTTCCTGAATAAATAATTTGCTTATATTTTAAAAGGTTAATGACCATCTCAGAATTGAATTAATTATATTTTTTGTGTTTTGTGTATTTTTTATAAGTATGTATAATATGCGTTAACAAAGAGGTCATATAGCAAAACTAAAAAAAACATATATATATTTTTTTTCATTCCATCTTAATTATTACAATTTTTATTCGAAACCTTTCAAAAACGAAAAAAAAAAATTATTACATTAAGTAATTATGAAGTAAAATCGAGTTAATTTCATTAACAGTTTCAATAAAAGAATTAAAGAATCTGTTTAAAATTAAAATTCGAAATAAAGAATTCGAATTTTATATACCCTTGCTTGTTTTTCATTTTATTTAATTTTGCAATTACAATAAATTAATTATAAAATATATGTACCTACCTACTAGGTCTTGCTGTTAAATAATTACGAATATATATAATTATAAATAAGTCAAATAAATTATTATACGACCTTTAAATAGATCGCTCTCTTTAAATATTAATTAAATTTCGATTCGAATTATTTTATGATGTGAACCAAAAAAAATTTTTTTTCTGATTTCGATTAAAGATGAATTTTTAATAATTACATATGTATGTATGTAAATATATACCGTATTCATAATTTACAAGAACATGTAAAATTTAAAGGGCAAATTAAAAAAAAATATTATTTTTGTCTTTGCATAGTAGAAAGTAAATTATTATAAGAGTATAAAAAATAATTGGCAAGAAGAGGTCAAAAATTTAACAATTTTTAATTAAGTTCCGTTCTGTACAATCTCATAATCAAAGCTATAAGAATATGACACTTGTAATTTTCTGCATTTAATATATATATACATAGCTGTAGACCCAAAATAACATCAATATTGTTGGACAAATATGTTAACTCTGTTTTTACCATTCACGTTTCCGTGACTTTCACATGATAACTGGAACAAATAATATTAAAAAAATTTAAAAAAGGTACGTCACAAAACGTATTATGAATATAAATTTTAGTTAATTTTGGTAATTCTGATTATAAAATTACATAACAATAACAATATACCTAATAAATTTCACATACATATAAATCCAAAGCTTAGATTCAATATCAGAAATTTACAAGGAATTAAGTTCAAAATACAATTTTGTTCAGAAAGGTTTGTTAGTTTGTAATACTAGTTGTGTTTAAACGTTTAAATAAAAATTATTATAAAATTGTTATTATTGTTTTTCGAAAATAACTATTTTTAAAAGTGTCACATTCACAACAATTTAATTGGTGGAATGAACTTGACTTATTTTCTTTATTTTTTTTTTGTTTATTTATTTTTGTCACTTATGAAGAAGTTACATAAAAATATTGTATGCCGAATATAAAATTATTTTTAATTCTATAATATAATAATTCTAAATAAAATGTATAAAAACAAAACAATGCAAAAGATGAGACGTGACATACTTGATTGCACGAATTAAAAATACAATTGACAATAAGTTGGAAAAACAACAACAAAAAAAAAAATTTATTATAAACTTTTTAAGTTTTATAATAAAAATGTGTAGCGATAATAGTCGATTTACGCGGCGACGTCTTCTCTTTTATGCTCTTATAGCATGATTTTATCGTAATTATAGTTCATATGAATGCCTATAAATTCATAAAAGAAAAAAATAAATAAATGAATCGATCATGAAATAGTGCACATACTAATTTAAATTTTTTCATATTTTTTGCCATGAGTTGAGTAATTTATGTTTATGTAGTTGAAATCGTAGGTGGTTTTGTAAAAATCACTGTGTTAAAAATGTTTAACTGGAGAATTTTTAACACTTGTTTATTACACTTTCAAATATAATTTTCTAATACCTTATGATTTTGGCATTTTAAAAATAATATATGAACATATATAACGTATATTGGTTCAATTTCTTTGATAATAGCACTTGTTTTCTTTCCAGTATTAAAAAATTTCAATTGATTCTCTCAATAAATTTGTCTGTTATGCATCTTCATAACGCTGTATTCCTGTTATATGAATCATTTGGTGAGCATGAATTTTTTCTTTACTAAGAATTTATCGGCACGAATAAAAAACATTATACACGACTACTCATATCCGATTCAAAATTCTTTGTCTTTTCTTCCAAATTTGTCTTCATTTCTGATAAGCTTCTCGTTCCGCAGAAGAGTTAGTAAATATAAGATGATCAGATACAATCGTCACAGTTTATTGTACTTGAAAGCAACTCGCATCCTTAGAAAAGCCAGTTAATATATGCATAGTTTCAGATTTATAGAATATTGTACTTTCCGTAGTTTAATGAAGAATGCAAGCTGAATGAAAGTCCCATTTCATTTGATTTCAAATGCAAGTTAAACATTTTTTTCTTACGTAGATCAATACTTTACAATTTGCATCGAAATCTCTTGAGCAACAAGAGATTTCGATGAATTTGAAACTCAAATTCCCTCTCTATTATGACCTAATTTTTTCAGATGATCTCTCCTTAATAGACTTCTTTAAATTCCGTTAAGAGACCTTTGAACATACTTACTTGGTTGTTACTTGTTAGCATTATTTTCTTATAGCGCTTGCGGTTAAATATAATTTTGCAAATCAAACAAAATATAAAATGTTTAGTAAAACAAAATGGAATCTTCATAAACGTTGCTTGTAAATTTAAAAATTTAATAATTCGAAAATATTTAATTTGTTTTGGTCATTGTACGTACCTGCATATGCAAATATTATGGCAGGTGATTAATCATAATACTGGAAATTTGTGAAATTATGATTATTTATCTATGGTAAAACCCCTTTTTTTTGTAAATCTTTGGACTGTATTAACCGTATATACAATTTTGATTCTTCTTATATCTGAGATCTTTAGGTTTCTATATCTAAGATCTTTACGTCTTTATTATTAATTTTTTTTATTTCACTTACCCAAAGTCAAATA